CCGGTAGACTAGCGCTGCATCTACCTACACTCTCTCCTCCTCCCCCTCCTGGGTCCGGTGTCAAGACCAAGTCAAGAAGACCGGAGACGAGGGAGGCCGCAGGTGGATGGCTCGGACGGATCCCTACCTTGGCGTTCCACCACACCCCCTGGTCCACACAACAATAACCAGGATTTCAACCAACACAGCAGAGATTTGGAGACTGGCACGGCCGAAGCCGCACCTGGGCGTGCCGCCAACGCCTGGCTCGGATCCCACACTGTGGTGGGAATGCCATAAAGGCCACATTAAAAAGGAGCCATTGCAGCCTGACTCTCAGACCGCCTCCCGTGAAAGGGGAGGTCCAAGGTACCCCGTCAGTTGGCAACCTTCCAAGCCACGGCTTTCAGCGCACCGTGATAGCTTCAAGCGCGTCAGATTGTTTATAGTGAGGAGAAAGTGCGCTGAGTCGTCGACCTCACTCTCCCTTCCCAATCCCACACCCCAGCCACTGTCCGAGCCGGTCAGCAGACTGGAGTGGGGAGTGGGCGCGGTGGCTGTCATGGTCGACGGACCATGTCTGCGCGCGCCACAGCACGACCTGGCCCCCCATACACACAAACACCAGGATTTCACACAACGGGGGTTGAACGGCGTGTCTCTCACTTGCGTGAGGGTGCCGTGGAAGGTGCTGTTTCAGCCCGTCCCCAGCCCACCAGTCCGCCACTGCACACAACACACACACACACAACGCGACGAACTCCGTGAACCGAGAGCGGGTCTCAATCAGCAACCTTCCTATCCACGACACTTGAAGTGTCGGGATAGTCTCGGACTCAAGTCACCCGTGCAGCCGAAGCGGCATGTGGACCGAGTCGAGATGCACACTTCCCACTTGCGTGGGAGGTGGCAGTTGAGTGCATGAGGTGTGTGAGTGTTAATGCCTGGTGGGGTGATGGTGGTGGTGGGAGGTATGGAGTGAGTGTGTGGTGTGGCCGGCGGTTGTCTACCGCAGGTCGTCGTGGATGCGCATGTGGCCGAATAGATCCATGCGATGCGTGAAGGTGCGAGGGCAGTGTGGGCAGTGGAGGCGAGTGCGGTGAGTGTAGGTTGATGCTCCAGGCACTGGTTCGCCAATCTCTGTGCGATGGATTCGCAAGTGACCGACCAGGCCGATGCGTGAGGTGAAGGTGCGGTCGCAGTGAGGGCAGTTGTAGTTCTGATCCTCATCGCTGGAGTCGAGCGAGGTGGTGGTGATGGTGTCGGTTGTTGCGCACAGGACAGTCGCCTGAGCGGCCGTCGTGGGAGCAGTGGAGGAGGAGGAGGAGGGTGATGGGAGTGGTGATCCAGAAGAAGTGTCAGAGTTAGTTTGTGGCGCAGAGGGTGAGGAAGAGGCGAGCGGGGGGACGATGGTTGAGGCAGTCCGAGAGGTGCAGTTGATCCGAAGATGTCCAACAAGTCCGATTCGTGCCCGGAATGTCCGTTGACATCGAGGACACGTTGGAGGCGGTTGTGCGGCGGCGTCGCGTACTGGGCGAGATTGTGATTTGCGGGCTTCGCGTTTCGCTTTGGCGGCAGCGATGCGGTTGGCTTCGTAGATCGCAGCGCCTGTCTTCACTGTCCCCCTCCATGTTGGTCGATCGAGTGCGAGCTCATCCCAGTTGGTCGGGTTGATTTGCAGACGCTTCAGGGATGACTTCAGGGTGTCCTTGTAACGGCGAATTTGGCCTCCTTGACGGCGAGAACCCGTCGCGACGTCTCCGTAGAGGAGTCGTTTGGGTAGTCGCTCGTCGTCCATGCGCACCAGGTGGCTGCTCCAGCGCAGCTGCATTTGTCTCAGTATGGTGTAGATGCTGAGGATTCCCGTGCGCTCCAGTACTTCAGTGTCGGGGATTCGATCCTGCCAGTTCAGCCTCAGGATGCGACGAAGACAACTGAGGTGGAAGTGGTTCAGTCGGCGTGCCTGCTTTGTGTCATACACACACACACACACACACACGACAGTTTAACCGTCGAGAACCACGATGTCCATCGTGTTCCCAACACCATGGCAGGCGGAGGGATGGTGACTGTCGACACATCCAGTACACCGTCTTCCCTCACCCATCTGGACCCGGTGTCAACGCGGAGTCAAGAACACTGGAAGTGGGATAGGGCCCATGGCCGAAAAGGCTAGACAGCCAGTCTATGTGTGCCACACACGCCTGGTTAGCGCATGACAGAGCAGGTTTTCATGGAAACAAGGGAGGGCGGCTCGGATCCCAACTGAGTGACAGTGGCACAAAGGCCACATTCAGAAGGAGCCCAACTCTCCGTCCTCAGAGGAAGACCGAGCTATTCTGTCTATTGGTAGTTTTCCAAGTCACAACTTTTAGCGCAGCGTGAGAGTTTAAAAGCGCTTCAGATTGCTATAATAAGGAATATGCCTTGAGTGCCGCGAGGACGCAGTCTCCAGAGTTGACCTCGTTCTCTTTTCCCCCTCACAGAAACCCCGTTACTATCTGGACCGGTCAGTCATCTGATGCAGGGATTGAGGCGAGACGCGAGCCCGCGTCCAGGCGTTTCACTACACTCCCGAGGTGTGGCGTGTTATGAGTGCGCGTCCCAAGGAACTCGCTCCATGCCCTAAGGCGTTGGCATATCCTTGCCATCTGCTTATCAGACGCTGCGAAAACACCAACGGCGCGGGTGGAGGTAACTCCCGGGGGATTTGTTTGAGTCTAAAAAGGCCTGCAGGTCTACATTTATCCGTAACAATGAAGTCAGGTGAGGTTTCGAAGGATCGGAAAAAATATGGTAGGTCAAGGAAAATTTAATGTAGGCTACTATGGAGATGTTCGCTCTCTTGGCAAATCAGTATTTTTTACATGGAACAAATAATGCTAGCAAAATAGCGATTAGTTTGATCGGAGAAGATATCCGTGGCCACCAAAAGGCACATGATACTGGACGATGCAATTAGTAAAGAAAACTTATTGACAGTCAACTAATGGTCATGCCCTGAATAGAATTCAACTGCTAGAGGGTATTAAGTCGGCATAAATAGCGTTTTTCACTACTTTTTCCCAGGACAAATAACATGTCTAAAGAACAGCCACGGGTTCTAAAATGTGGTCTTTAATGCAATTGCCAGTGGCCGTCAACGTGAAACTCCAGGGTTTGTCAAAAAATCCTTTAATCGGCCGACGTAGATGACACAGTTATGGGAGACAGATAATGTTAGCCGAAATTAACTCAGTAGAGGCGCATCGCAACAAAATGTGCTGCATATTCGGTTCTCTAATGCAGTACGAAGCCACGGCGCGGACAGAGACAATATATTACGTTATATATGCATCCCATCGTATTGTGAAGTTCAGACAACTGAAAAACAGATACAGACGTAAATGATTTTTCAATGAAAAATACTGAAATAAAACATAGCAATAACGGCAGATGTAAACAAAATCGAGAAAACGTACGGGTCAGAGAGAACGGCATCTCCTGCAGCATTATCTGGGGCTTTATGGAATTCTGCAGCGGGTTGTTCTGTCAATCCTTTGGAAGAGACAGTTTCCTTTATAGGCAGCTCTGGAGTCATTTCAACGTGGTTTTGGGACTGGTGGTCAGTTGGATGAGGCTCTGCTGGAGAGGGGGAGATGGGCGTTTTGCCGACGGGCGAAGGAACATTCAATGAGCGAAGACTTTCTGGCGGGGGTTTTCCTCCGCCAAACTTCGAACCCGAGACAAACATGTTTGCATTTTCATCAAATTCATCCCAATTTATGTTGTAAGACCCTTTGCCAGACAAACGTTTGCTGTCAGACATCGAGTAGTGAGCGGTCTGAGAGTCAGGCTGCAATGGCTCCTTTTTAATGTGGCATTTTTTGCACTCTCACCACAGTGTGGGATCCGAGCCAGGCGTTGGCGGCACGCCTAGGTGCGGCTTCGGCCGTGCCAGCCTCCAAAACTCTGTTGTGCTGGTTGAAATCCTGGTTATTGTTGTGTGGACCAGGGGGTGTGGTGGAACGCCAAGGTGAGGATCCGTCCGAGCCATCCACCTGCGGCCTCCCTCGTCTCCGGTCTTCTTGACTTGGTCTTGACACCGGACCCAGGCGGGGGAGGAGGAGAGAGTGTAGGTAGATGCAGCGCAAGTCTACTGGCACAATAAACCCCTGCGTAAGTCACCGTCCCTGCTCCCACTGCTGCTGCAGCTGTGGGGCATACGGTGGACATAGTCGAAATCGACGGTCGAACTGTCGTGTGTGTGTGTGTGTCCACTTGCTGGCACCCAACTCTCACCTGTGGCTCCACGTAGCTGGGCTCTGCTCAGCGACCACACCCCGGGCAACCGTCTCGGCCGGCGGGCTAAACCAGGTGAGGGTATCCGTGCGTGCACCTGCACGCGCGGTACTGTGGTCTGCGCTGGCCGGATGGATCTTCGCGTCGACATCGTCGAGACGAGGCTCTGCCTGGACCATCGCAGGAGGCCACCAGGTAAGTTCCCCCTCAGGTAAGTGCATTTGCTCCGTTTCTTCCTTTTGTCTGCTGAAGTTCCGTGTCGTATGCTGCTCTTGCTGCCTGCCATTTATATGCTAGACTGTCTGTTAATAACTAGACGAAACCCTCGCTGCCTGCTGCGACTGTCTGTCAGTTTATGCCTCTCTCTGCTAATAGCTAGGTGTTACGGTGCTTGACACTTGAATGGTACCCTCTTACTTCTGTCTCTGACTGATGACTGTGTCTGTTTGCCCACTCTAGCTAGCTGTAAGTCCCATAGCGTTAGGTTGTGTGTATGCTCTCTCCTACTTCACTCCATCACATCACCACCACCACCAAGGTCCCAGGCTAATTCGGGTCGTTCTCTCACTAACAAAAAGTCGTGGCCCATAGTGGAGTCCGGCAGCCGTCTGGGATAACCGGGCAGCCCTGTTCAGGGATGCGCTGCCTGCCCCCGCGAGGGGGAGGGGGCTAGAAAAGGTGCCCTAAAGATCGCTGGGAACCACGCTGTCTGTAGGCTGGCCGTGGCCGCAGACAAAAAACACACGGTCGAAACAGCCAAAATCGAAACAACAACGACAACCACTCTCTTCCTCTTCCAGCCTATTCTTCTTCTCCTGCTCCTACTTTTCGCCGCCGCAGTCGTCAGACTGGCAGGGTGAGCCCGCTCACTCTGGCAGCCTGGAATGTTCGTTCCCTTTTAGACAATCCGAGGAGCAACCGACCGGAACGGAGGACGGCGCTAGTGGCACGAGAACTGGCGCGCTACAAGGTGGACATCGCCGCACTCAGCGAGACCCGATTCTCTGAACAAGGCCAACTGGAGGAGGTGGGTGCCGGTTACACCTTCTTCTGGAGTGGTCGACCCAAGGCAGAGCGACGTGACGCGGGTGTCGCCTTTGCCATCTGGACCGACATCGTGGGACGACTGCCCTGTTTGCCGCAGGGAATCAACGATCGCCTGATGAGTCTCCGTCTGCCCCTCCGGCGAGGAGGCAAATTCGCCACCATCATCAGCGCCTACGCTCCGCCAATGAGCAGCCCCGACGCCGCCGCAAGAGACAAATTCTACGAGGACCTGCACGCCCTCTTGGCGACTGTGCCGAAGGCGGACAAGTTGATTGTCCTTGGTGACTTCAACGCCCGCGTCGGCACAGACCATACTCATAGCCGAGGCGGTCCTTCAACGGCTGGAGTCGCTGGTTTTCCGACACCACAGACCGAAATTCTGGGCTCGGTATGTG